CTTCTTTCCCATGGGAGCTCCATGCTCCACTCATTTTTCCTTGATTTGATTGGCTAGAGGTACAAATTATGAAGTTCCTCATTAAGTATTTTTATCAGGTTCCTGTTACTACCGCCCTCTTAAAGGCCTGTAACAGGCCGTGAAGGCCCATAGTGTTGTAAGACGTCAGGACTCCCACATTTTCTATGCAATCGACTCTCAAATGTCGGTGAGGTTGTCAGCATTACTACCCGGCCGCTCTCTACCCTCAATGAAGATTCCTGGTACTCATTCCTGTTAGAGGCTGAGTCGATCCCAGGGCCATAGTGTGGCTGGAAAGTTTAAGTCAATTTAAAAATCCAATGACCTAATTGGGGTTAGAACCCGCGTCCTTCCGGCTGGTAGCATAGTACCTCAACCAACTACGTTACTGCGTGTCTCTTCGGGCAGAATATTCTCTTTAAAATTCAGTTTTCCAAAACCTTAATTCTATGTTCCTCTCGAATATGAGAGGCCAAAGTTCACATCCATACAAAACAGAGGACAAAGTTATAAGTTCATATATTTTTAAACCTGATTATTTATCCAATTATTGTACTGTGATTATACCGAGCTTATGTGAAATCGAAAGAGAAATGTGAGTTATGAATTAGGAAAAATTAAGAGAATATGGGCGTCACCTACTTAAATATTTTATCCCGGAATTTTAATCTCATAACCTGAAAATAAGGCCGGTCAAGGTAGCGAGCGGTCTAAGGTATATACTGTCTTCGCTCGATCGGAAGACGAGATCGTGGGTTCAAATCCAACTAAGGGCATGAATGTTTAGTGTTCGTGAGTGAGTATTTGTGAGTCTTCCTGTGTTTGTGTACAGGTAGATGCCTTGCAACTAGCTGATCACCCGCCCAAGGAGTCCTACCGAATGTCTAAGATCTAGTAAACCGAAGTGAAACGGAGAGTTTCATGGAGGTAGGCCAAGGCCCAAATTGGGGCTGTAGAGCCAAAGGAAAAAACTGAAACTCTAAGATCACTTGATGAACCCAGATCAAATGAGAGAAAAATATTAAGTGAATCCATATAAATAAGATATGCGGCTATTGATTATATTCATCTGTCACAGAATAGGGACCAGCAGTGTGCTGTTCTGGAAACGGTAATTAACTTTCGAGTTCCGCAATAGTAGGAATATTTTTCAACTCTTTGAACGACTGTAACTTCTAAAAGAGGAAATGGCACTATCTAGTTAGTTGCCCCAGCACTCACGTAAGGATGTAAGGACATTTTTTGTTACTTATACAATAACTAATATAATTTTATTCACAGGATTTTCAACAAGTACTGAATTTATACATCAATCGCTAAATAAATAAAACAGAGATAAAGGCAGTTTCCACTGACTGGTGCAGGGAATAAAATTAATGATATGTGGCATGCAGCATGAAATCTGAAATAGTTCATTGCTAGACAACGGCTTGCTAGTCACGTTTCTGCAGCAACGGGCAGGCTTGTAGGAAAACCAGACCGTTGCTACGAAATTAACACACGTTTCTATTGCGACGAATAAACACAGAATAACAGAGGAACTGTTGGGTGTGGTGACTTACCCGAAGTTATAAAAGGGGGACACGTGATCCGCGATTCATTCATTTGTATACCAGAATTGAGTGGCTCAGAACTAAGTTAGTCACAGTAGAAGAGAAGATAGTCGCAGTCTGGTAGAACGGAGCGAGTGATTGATTGTGAGGTGTTTCAACTGATTGTGACAACGAGTGGTGTCACTGAATCCAATCATCCAATACAGAACCCTTTATGATTAGTCACGGAATCCCGGACACGTGAGAGATATTACGAAGCATCCGCCTTCATTCCTCTCAGCTGGCTTCTGGTTTCCGGTTATTTTTAGCCCGTCACTCTTTTATTTCATTAGTCCTTCTTGTAACGAACCTCCTTCATTTTACGAACCGTCCTGGTTTCACATCCATGCAGTTCTACGTAACTAAAGTAGAGGCCGTGTGACAGTTACTGCGTCCGGCCCGGGAGTACTCAACGTATTCCATAAGGCAAATTATGTGAGAGTGCCTTGAATGGCAATGAAAGGTCCTTTGTATTCTTTCCTCTGTTCCACGCTATGAAGAGTAGACCAGTTTAGGAAGTCATTAAATAAGTTAAGCTATTCTCTATAATCTGTAACGTTTAGGAGGTCACTAGATAAAATAAGATCTTTGTAATACATCCGCTATAAAAAGTCACTATATTACCTAAGATTTGTTTTGTATTATGGCAGTTTAGAAAGTCACTATATAAACTAAGAACTTAATTATAATTCTTCCAGTCTAGGAAATCATTAAATAAGTAAAGATCTGCTTTATTATCTGTCAAGTTTATAACATAAATTTACTAAAATTGTCCCTATAATCTATCCAGTTTAGGAAGTCACTATATGAAATAAAAATTTGATTTAAAATCTATAGTGCTTAGAAATTCAATAATAAATAAGATCTGCTTTATGACCCGTGCAATTTAGGAATTATCAATACTAAATTAAAATTTCTTTATAGTCTATGCATTTCAAAATAGTCATTAAATGAATTAAGCACCAGATACGTGTTCCCTTTTCCAAAAATTTTTGCATAAATCAATTTTCCTGAAACTAATTTTGCACCATATTAAACGTGGATATCTCTTTGACTCATAAGAAAACACGTTATTCCTAACAATTATTTGACCATATGGGAAGCCCATTGAATGTTTCAAGTGTATCAAATTGTCTTGGTAGTTAACAAAAAGTAAACCTCAAAGGTTTAACAAATTAAAATTCTGCCGAATGCGAAAAAACGAAAACGTTTCTCTCGAACAGACTGACTGCAAAATGAACTGGAACTGATGTCTGTCTGTACCGGTTCTCACGGTCTCTTCGCTTGCGGATTTTCTTATTTTTCCTTCTACCTTGAAGATGGAGGCGACACGTCTCCGAAACGTCGGTTAACACCACATCTACATCCCAGAAAACTGCTTTCTTCTTAAATAAATTCAGTTCATCTTCGTAACCTATTTCGTTAAGGTCTAGTTTAATATTATCTTCTCGCTTAGGAATTTCAATTTCCAAGTAGTCTATTTCTTCGGTGTATTTTCCGAGTACAACTTTCTGTTCCATTTCTGCTGCTTAGCTAGACCACGCGATCCTGGTTCATTCGGTTAACTTAATATTATTTGGCGAAAGGTGTATATTGTGAAGCGTCCCACTAAGCGATTTTCCCCAGCATCCCGATATTTCCCGTCCCACAATTCCAAACACCCATCTCAGTGCTGTCTCTCAAACGTACTAAATCTTTGTTCTCCCTTTCGGACGAGAGACAAAGTCTCGCGCCCATAGAATCAGGTAGCCATTTTAATAAAATCTGAGTCAATTAGTGGTATCAACTCAACACTTCTTCACAGGGAAGACGGGAAAATCTTCACATCTCACTGTTTATTACATACATATACACACACAGGTAAACGTGTCCCTGTACCAGGCCATAAAGGCCCATAGGGGTGTGAGAGGTCGAGGATCTCACATCTTCTAGACAATCGGCTCATAGATGGCGGTAAGGTTGTCAGCACTACGCTCCGGCTTCCACTTTATTCCCCAGGAAATTCCTGCTACTCATTTCTGTTAGAGGCTAAGTCGGCCCCAGGGCCATAGTGCGGCTGGAAGGATTAGGTCAATTCAAAAATCCAATGACCTCGTCCGGATTCGATCCCGCCACCTTCCGGCTTGTAGCATAGCCCGTCAACCAACTACGCTATTGCGTTTCCCATATATATATATATATATGTACACATACACATAATTCAGTATCCAATGCAGCTTCACAGGTTAGTGACTGAATTACCACATTATCCATGTGTTTAGTCCAGACACACACACACACACACACACACACACTGGCGACGTTAACACTCGTAACCAAGATACCATTCACGAAACACAAACCTCTGCGAAAAGCAGAACGTAGAACACTATAAAGAAAACCGCCATATGATTTCAAAAAAATTTAATTAATTTTTACATTGAATGTTAACTAGTTACAAATTGGCTTAAATAATATATTTTTAGAAAATGGCGTACTCAAGGGCTATGTATTGTTACAATACAGCACAACAGTTTACGTGAATCGTCACACATATCTGATGATTGCCCTGTGCGGCCGAAACATGTAGTTAAAATTATATATATATATATATAAAGTTAAAGGTGTCCCTGTAACAAACCCTGGAGGCCCATAAATTTCTGAAACTTCGAGGCTCCCACATTTTCTACACAATCGGCTCACAGATGAAGGTAAATTTGTCAGCTTTACACGCCGGCCGCCCTCTAGCTCCAGGAAGATTCCTGGTACTCATTTTTGTTAGAGGCTGGAAAAATCTAGTGACCTCATCGAGAATCGAACCCGTGACCTTCCCGCTCGTAACCGAGTGCCTCAACCAACTACACTACAGCGTGCTCCTATATATATATATATATATATATGTGTGTGTGTGTGTGTGCGTGCGTGCGTGCGTGCGCGCGCGCGCTAATCAAGTTATCAACAAATGTAACAGGATGCTTAAGTACTCTGTTATCTCACTGTTAATTATCAGTTCCACATTCGGAACCGATGACCTTCTGATCACGAATAAGACACGCTGTACGCACAACAGTCGAGGCACCGAGCTCCCAAACGCGATATATATATATAAAAAAATTGATCGTGCGTATAATCAAGATAACCTTCACTTTTCGGGGAATTTCACTTTCGGTCCCATTGGTATTCTCAGAAAGACGTGATTCTCTTACATGACAAATGAAATGTCCCTCGCTGCCACAAGTTCGCAATATCGGCGCAACAAGGGAAAATGAGAAAACAAACAACACGTAACTAGCCGCATTCTCTGGGTATAAAGACACTGGTTAAAAAAACGTCAACTTTTTAATGACCTTTAATAGGTAATAAGAAATGGGAACTGACTTTCAGTCATATTAAAGCGAGAGAATTCAGTATCTCGAGGTTGCGGACACAGAAATGTGAAAAGATTTTTTAAGCTCCAAAAGTTTCCTTGACGACTGACTCAATCAGTACAGACAACTGTGTGTATATAAAACAAACCACTGGCTGGTCCATTACAGAATCGCAGTGATCAGGACGCAGTGCAGATCGGCATCATGAAGATAATATTTGTAAGTGAATAATTGTAGTTCGGCTAATCCTTCCTTCCTTCCTTCCTTCCTTACTAACCAGCCTGATGTAGCTTATCTTCTTTGAGAAACTAACAGCACATTATATCTGAGGAATGCTTACTACGAATCAGTTCAGAGGAGTTGGCTTAGTAGCAAACTGTATAAACACGCGGATATTAAAATATACTTTAATTTTTTGGTTTGTATCGGTGTGAAATCTGGTCTCTTCTGTTAAATGACGAATTAGAACACAAGCTGTGAATGTTTGAGAACACGGTACTGAGGAGAAGATCTCAACCCAAAGGGAGGAGGCAGCAAGACGCTGAAGAACAGTGCACTGTGAGCAGCGAAACAATTTATATTATTTAAATACCAAGCCTATAGTTCGGGTGACCTCATGACAGATGGTGAGATTCAATTCAATTCAATTCAATTCATGTTTATTTACGTGCAATAACTCAACAGCACAGTGGCCAATTACAAAGTTAGCACGAGTATATACAGAAAATAATTAAAACAAAATACAAGTATGACAAATAAATCTGTGAACATAAATCTAAAGAAGACTGAACTATATACATACATTTATGAAATATTACTAATGTTGCTAATACTGTTAGTAACTAAATACTAAGATAAGACACCTGTGAGTGATAGCATAAAATTAATAAGATTAATAACAAGTCAATAAATTAAAACCAATTACATAAGAAAAATTAAAGTTAGCCGAGGTACACACATTTGTAGTGAATTAAAACACTAATCAAGTAACACCGTAAAAGGTTCGGTACATGCTTGTAAAATATGATTCAGAGAAACCGCTCCGTCAGCAAATATGTCGAGATCTTTACCCACCACGTTGGTAGCAAGGGCGCACCGAGAAGAGGGACAGTGTCTTTTTGAGGGACGAACGCTAAAAGTAGAGAAGTCTCGAACATGGCAAGTAGGAACACGAAGACTAGCATTATCCAGAAGGGAGGAGCAGGATTTAAGGCCACGATAAACCTGAATGAAGAAGAGTGCATCAAGAAGATGTCTACGCAGACTTAGAGGGTGCAATCTTAGTCTCTCTAAGGCAGATGTATAACTATAGGAGCTATGTGGGAAGTAGCGGTAGAAACAGACAGATGCAAACTTTTTCTGGATGCGCTCAAGTTTTGCGGAGTCAGTAGACGTGATAGAATTCCAAGCTACCGAGGCATATTCCAACTTGGACCTGACTAGTGTAAGATACAGCACATATAAACAGTCAAGAGAAGAAAATCTAAAAGTTATTGAGCGTATAAGACCTAGCAGCTTTATACATTCGGAATATAAAAAATCAACATGATTGTGAAAATATAATTTAGAGTCAAAGAAAACACCTAGGTCCTTAACGCAACTGGTGCGTGTAATAGCAGTACGACAAAGCTGATACCCATAGAGCAGGACATTAGTCTTCCTTGAGTATGACATAACATTCGTTTTGTTGATATTAATACTCATGGAGTTGGCAGAGCACCAGTCACTGACATTTAAATTTAAAACCACGAGCCTTCCCAATTTAAATTTTAAACTAAGTGCAGTGTAACAGCTACGTAAGTGTATACACCTGAAGATGGCCGTTTGCGGCCGAAACATGTAGTGTAGAAGAGGGCAAGACAAAAGAACTACAATAAATTGTTGCACTTGGGACGGTGTTTATGTCATATATCGTATAGAGTGCAACAGGATGCTTAAATATAATATTGTAATATTGTCCTCAACTTTAATTGAAGACAAATTTAAATCTATTTTATTCCTTTTGAATGTCTTTATTTTGTTGCTTATTAATTAACTTCTGCCACTTCACATTCGTATTTGTGCTGAGTAAAGAGAATGTCTCACTAACCTCCATTTATGAGTGGGAAATTTGCAGTTTGTTCTGTTCGCTGTGGTTGGTACCCATGCGGGGATCCTCGCTCCCCTGGCGCCCTCTGCCTACCCTCTAGCCGTCCCAGCAGCGGGGCACGCTTATGACTATTACGTAAGTATAAAGCCTACTATTATGATAGGTTATCTCAGAACTTCTTGCAGCCAATAAGCTCTCAGTTATTAACCACGGCTCACTGTTGCCGTTCAATGCATAATACGCTACATCTACACGGAGGAGAGAGATGAGTCCAAAGATGCGGTGTTTCGCATAAGGTGGAATTTAGAATTTAGCGGATGGTTGCACGATTTGGAATTCAATAGGGAGATGTGTTTTAAGTTTATTCGGTGCTCTCTGTCTCAGGAAACCACCAAATCTTCCATATAAATCAATCTAGTAAAAAGAAAATGAACCTCACTATGATGAAAGTGATACTTCGTTGTGTACTGCTCTGGTAGTCACAGAGTCTACAAGAAACGCGAACTAAAACATGTCATTAATATAATAGAACCAGCCGGGGTATACTTTAGCTCTCCTGAATGACTCTTCCTCAAAATCCTCCATGAAGAACTTGACAAAACGATTATCACAATTTCTCTGAAGATTTTTATCGTCTGGTAAATAACATCGTGTACCCCACTGAAAGTAAATTAACGTTCCGAAGGAAAATGTTGCCTCCAACTTCAAGGTAAAGAATAAGCGAAACCAAAGCAGAACTTGCAACCTGCTTCCTTCTGGTTTCTCATTTGGCTTATTTTTCAACTCAGAACATGGAGGCGACATGTCCCTCAGAAACATCCGTTACCTATCAACGGATTACACGGCGTTATATATGAGAAGATAGAACTCTTCCCAACTACTGTGAGAATCTCAAGTCACTCCGTTCGTTGTTCACAGTAGCGCTTCATTATTTTTGTCTATAATTTTTCTATACCTTGAAAGATGGTGAATGAGGCTCAGATTTCTGACCTACCATTATCATTAATTCTTATATTATTAAGCAGATTATCATATAAGTAAAACATCTTACTTGTATTATGATCGTCACTTGTTAGCATAATTTTCTTTGTCTTGTGGACAAGAACTGACAGTTCAAGAGAAATTATGTGCCGCAGAATTGCTGAGTATTGAGCCCTGGCATTGGAGTAAAACTTCAGGTCACTTCAAGCGTTCAGACAGCCATTAGGTCCATTGTACGTCCCTGTTTTCAGTACGGTCCTTCAATGCTAGGACAAGATCCTTGATTGATTCCCTTCTAACATCTGTCGGCTCCAACCGCACAGAGCCCAAGATCCTCATGCTATTCCCAAAGAGAGATAGCCACTGACAAATTATGCGGCACGAGGATTCCTCCTCCTGTCCACATTTCCTACACATGGCATCATCCCAGAGGCCCCAAAAACATAAATGCCCATAGAATTGGTAGATATACAGACTAGCGTCTCTTTCATATAGGCATACCCTCGCTATGCTTTCGACTACGGTGTGAACGACCCTCACACAGGAGACAAGAAGAGCCAGTGGGAGACTCGTGACGGGGATGTGGTGAAGGGATCGTACAGCCTGGTGGAACCTGATGGTACAGTCCGCACTGTTGACTACACTGCTGACGACCACAATGGATTCAACGCCGTTGTCCACAAAACTGGCCTAGCTGTCCATCCTGTGACCCCTATATACAAAGGCTATGGGGGCTACGGGGGCTACGGAGGCTACGGTTATGGTGGACTTGGCGGTTATGGTGGATACGGTGGTTATGGCGGCTACGGTGGGTATGGTGGCTATGGTGGTTATGGAGCCCACGATGGTTACAGTGGTTACTACTGATCCCGAAATCCAAGTTGGAATGCCGGAGCGTTAAGGACGGAAAACGATAAATTTCACAGGTCTCCGCGAGGTCCCTGAGTGGATGTTTGTACGTAATTATGTACTCACATCTCGCTGTCCATGTTACGAATGACTGTAAACTGCTCTAAAATTGCCACTGGCCTTTCGTAACCATTTTCATTACGTGTTTTCTATCATATACTTTTAATTGTTGGCGTGCATAAACAAAGTTGTTTAAAACTGAACAAATACATCACTAAATGTGGCAATGCATTGTATAATGTCAATATTGGTGTACGCAATAAAATCTTTTATAAGTGAACACATTTTTCGGAACATTGGTTATTGTGTTAAGATTGTGTCCATTTTCACCTTTATAAATCTCAAAAATAGATTGAAGGTATTTGAGAACAGGGTGTTGAGGAGAATATTTGGGCTGAAGAGGGATAAAACGGTGGGAGGCTGGAGAAAACTGCATAATAAGGAGGTTCATAACTTGTACTCTTCGACAAATATAATTAGAATGATCAAGTCAAGGAGGATGAAATGGGCGGAGCGTGTAACTTGTATGGGGGAGAAAGGAAGTGTACAGACAGTTTGGTTAGAAAGGAAGAAAGAAAGAGGTCACTCTAAAGATCCGAACTTATGTGGGAGGATAATATTAAAATGTATCTCAGAGGAATTGGTTGGAGTGATGGGATGGACTCATCTGGGTAAGGATAGGGACTAGTGGAGGACTGTTGTGAACATGGTAACGAACATTCGGGTTCCAAAAGATTTTGGGAAAATCTTGAGTAGCTGAGCGACTAGCGGGTTTTCTAGAAGGGTTCAGCTCCATGGAGTATGTTAGTTAGATATCAAAGAAATATTTAAATGCTTCAGGATGGGCCCCAATGACGGGCACTTAAGGTAGCGGCAATGAATAATCGACTTCTAAAAAGGGTGGGAAATTTGTTGACTACCCGAGTGACTTAGCATCTCAAACAGGACTCGGCGCCAGTGAATCTAAAGATGGGAAATAATCATATGTCTTTTCGAAATAGGTAGTTTGTTCGGAGCCCGAAACATTGTCCGCATTAATTACATGCAAATCGAAATTTCCATAGGAGACAGTATGGGAAAGAAAGTATTCAGTAAAGTAGTACACAAAATTTCAAAGACGTTATTCTAAATATATTAAACTTGCTTAAAAATAGGAATAACTAAATATAAATTAGTGAAAGTCTCCTGCATAAAATGTTAACGAAAAATGTAGAAGGGTTTATGGAATCCACGGAAAATTCAATTTGTTGTAACTGCAAATGCAAACTATACTTTGAAAAGAAGAGCTATATGTTCTAAGGTATATTGTCTTATAGTCCCTTGAAAGCCAACCGAGTTTTCAGCAGAAATCGTCGCCTCTAGCGGACTACACCACTTTATGTACTACTAGATAGAACTAACAGAAATGAGTACCAGGAATTAATTAAATAATTTTCTTGGGGAGTAAAGCCCGGCCGGCGCGTAGAGCTGACAACTTTACCGGCATCTTTGAGCCGATTATCTAGATAATGTGGGACCCTCAACGTCTCACAACCCTGTGGGCCTTCACGGCCTGGTACGGAGGTAGCTTTACTTACTTACCTTTATTTCAAACGTATAATGAGATGAGGGAAAAAAGTCCATTTATTATCTTATGCAAATGATATTTACTTAGAGATTCACTTGATTGAAAATTTGAACTGCCCGAGAACATTTAGTGGAAATCTCCTGTATCGCATTCAGCGGCCTGTGTCAAACAAAATGTGGGGTATATGATAAAGCACATTTGTGACCTTTGTAAACCAGGATCAGTTGGAGTGGAAATCGCTGTGTTTCTAGAAGGAAAAACTAGCTACAGTCATCAGTATAAACTTCTCCCGTCGTCAAACTTCTATTACAGGAAGTGTGCAGTGCACTATTCATAATGAGAAGTCCAAGAACTTTATTATTAAATACTGCTTCTTAGTTTTAGAACTTGCTTCCTTACGTGTAATGTTTCAATTAGAATATACTGAAAGAGTTAGCAAGGCTAAACCTCAATGATCGAAATGTTCATTTTCTAGCAATATAGAGCAACAGTTATTCAGGATTTAACAATTACCACTCCAGATCTTTGAAATACTGTTTAATCGCGTGTTACAATAATATTTTTACTTGTTGGGTGTTATTAGAGACGAAAATAATGGATTCTAGTTCGGATGATTGGATTTATTGGCGCCTTAGTTCCCAGCTCTGTTAATCACACATAAATACAGTGTTTTCACTGGTTTATACACTTTCCAGTTCATTGTTACACACGCACTACGATTGTCCGTCTTCACTAGTCGTCTCCTGGTAACGGATCTCAACACAGAAACTATCACTTCAAATCCTTCTTACTATATCTAATTCAATGACTTTGGAACTTCGGAACTATAAATTCTTTTGGACTCACTCCTCCAGCTTAGGACTGACTCGTAACTCACAATTCATAACTTCTCTGAACGGATTCTGTCACTTATCTACATAGTTGCGGAACGGGCATGGACCTACAGTAAACATATATCATGTGAGCACTACCCAGCCAGTCTATTGACGCATCGGTCGGACCTACAGGAACACAGCTTCCTCTACTGTTGCGTGTTGGACCGTGTTTACAGAGCTGTTGCTTGGCGACGTTTTGCTCAGTTCATTAAATTATACCGTATTTACGCATGTATAGGCCGCACATTTTTTGCCAAAAATTCAAGAGGAAAACTGGGGTGCGGCTTATATTCGAAATATTCGAAATCACGCTTCATTTAAAATAAATTATATTCGTAATTAGTAATACAGGGTGTTCTACTCCTGAAATAATATTCCAAGAAAATTATTTTTTCTATGATTTCTGTCTGAAAATTGTGCTGCGGCCTATACACGAACGCGGCCTATACATGCGTAAATACGTTATTCGAAATTATTTGCCGGTTAAGTTTTATTAAAACGCAATATAGGGACCAGTTTATGGGACAATTGATGCATGTGTCACGTATTGAATGCGAAATTTAGGTGGAAAAACTGAGGGAAGAGACCATTTGTGAGACCTAGACATAAGTTGGGGGATAATGTTAAAATTGGTTTCGAAAAAACTGGATATCTAGATGTGGGCTGGTTCATCTGGATCAGGACAGGGACCAGTGGAAGACTCATATGATCATGAAAATGAAACTTATGGCTTCATACGTAGGGAGAATTTCTTGAACAGCTGTGCGACTTCTACGTTCCTATGAAGGGGTTGTTTCATGGAGTTAGTTATTTTGAATGAAAGGAATAGTGCCCGCTTGAGGGGAATTTAAATGACCCTTCCTGATTCGATAGTCATATAATCCCATCTGCAAAAACATATTACCGTAATGTTGTATTTTAGCGTCCTGTTGCGCTGATTCGTATCCATAATGTGTCTATATTTTCACCGTCTTTAAGTGCATACGGTGAAAATATAGACACATGGATATTACCTTATTTTAAAAAGCTTAAAAACAGCTACTTCATGTAGTTCAGTGAATATCCTATTTCCGATAATAGTATTTAAACATTTTATTCTGAAGAACTCTTGAATGTTCAATGTGTATTTTAAACAACGTGATTTCAAAGCAAAGAATAAAAGTTCTGAATCAGAAGGCTGAAGGTAAGGACTTCTTTTACGACCTCTAAAAACAGAGGTTAACTGTGAGACTTGCTTTGAAGGGAAATCCAGTCGAGCAGTTACGTTTACTATTGTATTTCTAAACGCTTAAAATTGCCAGTCATGCTAACCTTGGATATTTCAATTCGATACTACGATAGGATATGCCTTGCTGTCCATATTGTTTTCTGAAATAGATTGTGCGTACAGAAGCAGGTATACAAGAGAAAAAATGAAGTTACAAAAAAAGTAAAATTTTGAGATTTGAGGTTCTTGTGGGGGGAAATAGGAAGACTATTTTATTTTTAGATGTGTCTGTTGTCTCTAGAAAGTTACTAACGTTTCGTAGGAACTTTCTGCCTCAATCCTTAGGTTAGAATCAGAAAGATCCTCCTAAATCCTTTCAAACTTTTACTGGAATATACGGCATTATACCAAAGAAGAGTTATATCCTTACAGAATGTCCGTTAAACAACAGCAATTGAACGCAACATATACCAGCTCTATCCTTAACCAGTTTTGTACGCTGTTATTCCTGTTGGATGAAGATTCCACTAATCGTATTATTATTATCGTATTATTTATTCGCCTGTTTCTCGTGGGCTCTAAGAGTAGGATAATTGCACTGGCTTTGTAAAAAGAGGCAATATCAGTTTCGTGTAAAGACACAGGCTGAATTTCTTTCATTGGTTCAATAAATGGCCACTCGTTTCGCTGCTGTGCTTAAAACAAATTATTACATGCAATCATCCATGGCGGGTTCGAGTTTCTGAAGAGTAAAATATACAAAACCGTAGTTATTCTAGCAGCAGTTTGAATTCATCAAGAGCAGACGTTCATAAAGAAAAGAATTTTAAAGGAAGAAAGGAGTAGAAGACTAAATCAGTTGTAAGCTTTGAGGCTTTCACGGCGGTGACTATGAAGAAAGCAGTCTTCTGGGATTTGACACCGTGTATATGTGGGGTTAACCGACGTTTCGGAGGAACGTATCGCCTCCATCTTCAGGGTAGAAGAAAAATATAAAAAATCCGCAAACGAAGAGACCGTGAGAACCGGTAAAAGCACTGCTTTCTTCACTAAATCAGTTGTTTATAATTAGGATTTCATTACAACCAATTTGGTAGCAATTCAGTGGATGGCGGTTCGTTACACGCACTCACTGGGCTGGAAAATCTGAACAGTCCATTACCGGAATGCAGAAGCATAATTAACTGTCAGCAGTTTGGTTTTACTGAAACAGATCAAATAAAATTTCCCCCAGGTAATATTGTGTAGCGGTAATGAAATAGGGTTATAATCCGGAGGTAATAGGTTCAGTTCTTAGTCTGAACATCGGCTATCCTAGTTGAGGCTATTTGTGGTTTTCTTCACCCTCTCCAGAGAATTACTGGTAAAGAACCTCAACTAGGTCACAACCGCTTACATCCAAATCCTTCAATTCAAATCTGTCATCCGTCCAGACGACGCCGTATAGACTGTGATAATGAAACAGATGTAGAAGGAAACCTATTTCGAGCATTAAGTCGAACTGAAAATTTGTGGATTTCCTGATTTTCGGACGAAGCCCGCAGTTTCTTTACATGTGATAATGTGGCGCCCTTAAGGTAACCCAGTGCCTCACTGAATTAAA